AGACTTCTAAAGAGGTTTGTTGTTCTTTCACAAGTACCCTTCATCTTGAGATCTTAAATACTGGATGCCCTACATGCCACGGCAGTGTGTTGCTGCAGTTAAGCCCTTTTTACAGACTTTAGTGCAGAGATCCTTGCTAAAACGCTAAACTAGAAACCTACTTTGCATACTTTTTTTGCCTCAAGGGAGTATCAAATAGTTACAATGATTTTTCAGCATATAAAATTTGAAATGTAGTAGCAGCATTGAGTGTCCATATGAGGGAATAACCGAAAAAGCTGACAGCTGAAAGCCAAGATGAAAAGTTATGTCAGTTTCAAAAACCAGAAAGATTCAGCGGGGGCAGGAGGAGCATCACCTCCACCCGGGCCTGCCCGGCCGCCCCGCTCACCAGGAGGCCCCCCAGGTGGCCCAGCAGGCAGGAGAGCAGCACCGGCGCCCGCCCGCACGACGAGCCCGGCGACCAGGCCGGCCAGGCCCCGGAGAGACGCCGACGCCTCATCCCGGCCCCTCAAGGACCGACCGACCGACCGACCGACCTTCCCTGGCGGCCGAGGCGGAGGAAGAGGAGCAGGCCCCGAGCGCGCCTCAGGAAAAGCGACGGCCAAGCCTCGGCCCAGCCCGGCTTCTTCCCCGGCAACGCGAACGGGCGGGCGAGGGTTGGGACTACAACTCCCAGAATTCCCCAGGCCGCAGAGCCTGGGAGTTGTAGTCCCAAACCTCGCGCGGCCTCTTCCCTCGCCTCACGAGTTTACGCCCCCACAAGACCTCGGCCGGGAGCCTTTCCGTTTAAATAAAGCCACCTGTATTAAAAACACCGCCAGAGGCCTTCATTCAAAGCCCCCTTTTTATCACCGTTTCGAAGTGTGCAGATTCTTGAGGGGAGGGTTTTTGGACTACCGATCCCAGAATCCCCCCCTCAATCTGAGATGCCAGGGGATTCTGGGAGTTGTAGTCCCAAAAAACCCCTCCAAAATCTCGCTAGGCCTCCTTCTCCTCACGAATTGTGTCTCACAAGACTTTGGTTCGGTTTCCTCTCAATTCTACCCCTGGAAAAACACCGCCAGGGGCCTTCTTTAATGTTTCATTTTATGACCATTTCGAACAGATTTTATGAGGGGGGGGGAAGAGATTTTTTACTACAACTCCCAGAGTCCCCCCCTCAAGAGAATTCTGGGAGTTGCAATCGGATAAAAAATCTCCAGACCTTGCAAAGCCTCCTTACCAATGGCCCCAAAAGAGGCCTTAATCGACGGCCCATATTATTACTATTTTGAAGATATATGTGCAGGGATTTTGGACGACAACTCCCTCCTCCTCTGCCTGAGGGTAGCTGTGTAATCCAAAAAGCTAACTTTCCTAAACCGGGGTCCTGCAGAGCCCAAAAGCAGGGCTGGCTTGGCTTGCCCCCTTCATCAAAAACATCCAACACTGGATCTGCTCCAAGATTTTACTCTCAATTTTGCAGGCATCATGCAAAGTGCTGAGTCTTATCACCAAAACAGGTCCAGCATCTCGAACAGCTGCTTTAAAGTTCAGATTAAAATTGGGAGCAGATTCATCGTCTCCCTATAATAGAGCCAGCAGCCTCCTTCTATTCCGGTTAATGGAAACTCCCTGCCCTATTGATTTAAACATGCCAACAGGACATTACATTTCTAAAATACTGTGTCCTGGGGAGAAGACTAGAGAAGAAAGCAGGAACTAGTTGCCCTCTCTACTCCCATATCCATCAGCCCTTTCAAACATGGCCGTTGATTGAAGACGGTGGGGACTGTAAAATTTCGAAGATTCAAGCCATAAAAGTTTTGCCCATGATATCATCACAGGCATCCTTTAATCTCGAGAGACTATGGTAACGTGCTCTGTATGGAGGACTTGGAGCAGCGTCTAGTATTTTGATGCTGTATGCAAAGCTGGAGTGTCCTCTCCAGGGCACGAAGCCTGGGTAAAATAGTATGGAGGATAGGCTGTTACCCAACCAGCAAATCCCCCCTCTCCCACGATATTTGGGACTTGCCCTGGAGGATAAGCTGTTACCCAACCAACAAATTCCCCCCCCCTCCCACAATATTTGGGACTTGCCCGGAACTTTGGTCTAAACTTTCCAACATGGAGTGATGGTTGTGGGTGATGTCAAAGGATCTACAAAACCCTCTCCCTTCTCTTGTGGCCTCTTTTTTCACTCCCTGTGACACGTAAAGGTGTCAAGAACAAGTAGCAGGTCATGTGAGGGATTTCCAGGGGATTGAACAGCTTAAGCGCAAGACGGATCTTGGGTGTGTTGCTTTGGATCAAGGAGAAGCAAGCAGGCGTTTTGCAGAATCACGTTTGGGCAAGCGGGTAGAGTCTGTACCGTATACCCACTACCAAGTCAGTGAGCAAGAAAGGTTGGAAGTGTCCCCGATGGGACAGATGCAGTGAGCTTCAAAAATCTATAAATTTATTTTGGTGCCAGAAACTCCAGGGATTTCCAAAGACATGGTAGAGAAGGAGGGTTCCAGCCGGATGAATAACTCTGTAATTATATACACGCCTGCTCAGAAGTTAAGTCACACCAAGCGCAAGTTTGTAAAGGATTACAACCTAAGCTTGTTTTCCACTTCACAGATAGATAAGGCACTCGGAGATAAATGTTAATAGTCTCCAATTCACAAGGGTAAACTTTACTCAGTATTAGATGTGATTTGTTGACATCCCCACTCCACTTTACCCCTTTACAAAGGTATGAACCAGTGACTCCCATTTCAGGGGGTGACATCAATCCGCTCTGGGTTTTAGCCTGTACTTTAGAAGAGTGACTCGTGGTGCTGAACCTATTTAGGTGGATAGGTTTTCAGCAGTTTGAATAGCTCCTGTAAAGTGGGGAGACTAACATTCAGAATGGAATAAAAGCAATTTATTCATTAGTTTGCTTATTTAAAATATCTTTACCCTCCCTTTCTCCTAAAAGGGGCCTAAGATGGCAACCCCAAAGGGTATCATCAGGCACCACTACCTCCCACCGTTTTGGACTTCGACTCCCAGAAGCCCCAGCCAACTTGGCCAATGGTAGGGCATGATGGGAAAACACCAGGAGGGGTCATCATTGTCTACATCACTCTGCTTATAAAATGCAAGTACAGTACTGGGCCAGGGACCATCTAAGCACTCTATCGTTTCCTCTAAGATTGGCAAAATGAAAACCTAGAACACAGCAATTCAGGTAAAGGTCAAAGATCTCTTGCTGAAGTTTTATATACAATCTTGCATGCTGCCTGCCATATCAGTGACTAGGAGAGATTTTTCTGGGCTGCGGTGTATTATCTATCAATGCAGCACTATCAATAATTCCATCCAGCCTTTGAACTGAAAGAGAGCTGAGTGTTCTTTTCCCCTCTCTTTAGTCTGTTGGTGTCCGTTGTATGTTTGCTGTTGACCTATTCAGTTGGTTGTGAAGTATGTGTGCTACGAAAGAAAAAGGCATGCATAAATCTGTACTTTCAAGCAACTATAATTAAATAAATGTTTTCTACTCTTTCTCCGACAAATGTCGGAGGTGCCTGTTAATGAAAAAGGGGCGGACTCTTGGGAACTTGTTGCTGTTCTTCTCTGTGAGTCTCTGCATAACCAAAAGGATTTTACCAGAAACTCAACATCCTGTAACATCTCTGAGCCTGTAAAATTATCTAAGAGGAGCAGAGGAAGTGTTTAATTCGCGGATATCCTAAAGTGGCTCTCTTATTAAGACACTTCACAATATCAGAAATTCCAGCTGGAAGGAGCCAGACCAAATATGGTCACTTGATCCATTTCTCTGCAAATGTACTGATGGATGCATTTATTATCTATTTAAAATAATTACTTTTGAAAGTGCTTGGCACCCATAAACATCAGCCCCCCAGGTGACAGCGTAAACATGACTTGATCCATCCTCCAGAGGAGACAGAAGTGGGGCGGAGCAGAGAGACAGGGGCTTTCCTACCCCTTCCGGCCCTTCCCTGGGGCAGGGTGACAAGGGCACCGGAAACAGCAGCTCAGCAGAGGTGGTTGCGCGGCCCTGGCCTTCGGTGCATCGTGGTCGGCCAGCCGGCCGGCCTGCCTAGCAAAAACTTGCCAGCTGCCTTCAGGTATGGTCCTAGAGAAAGATTCAACTGCCAGTCCATTTAGGTTCAGTACAGGATGGGAAAAGAACCACCTTGTCCTTTTCCTTAGGCAGGAAAAAAACTTATTGGTGGTGGACACCTGGTAAGAGGAATATAGGTGACCTGCGTGGCTTCGAATTCTGCCCAGTGGCACCTGGTTCATCTGGGCAGAAGGGACTTCGCCACGCTCTAACCTCTGGCTACCTCCAGCCTGCCCCCTCTGTCTCCGTACCAAAGGATCCGAGCTTGTCCGGTGTTCCTGTCCTGCTAAACAAGCTGTGTGTGAATCAGTGTGTGTGTGTGTGCGAGAGAGAGAAAAGGTGGAGGGAGGATCAAAACAAAGAAAAGGTTGAATGTGCGCAGGTAAGTCAAGAACCTGATTTTGGAAAGACGCTTGGAGAAGAGTGAGCAGCAGGTAAGAACCTTGGCCATTTGGGGGCAGGCGGTGAATTTTCCAGGACTTATCCAAGGTGCTGAATCTTGTTCCCAAAACAGAAGTGTTGGGTTGTTAGACCAGGTATGGATGGGGTAGGAGAGGAGGGAGAAATGGAGGCACAGGAAGGCTTCCTTGGTGGCCTCTAGGAGTCTGGGGTCTCTGTTGTGCGCGTAGGGATACCTTCTTTTGCCCTTCCGCTGCCTCTTATCCCCAGGGTTGCCCACCTCGGACTGCAGAGCCATCCACCCCATCAGCAATAATGGCTGGCTCTTCTTGCAGGAGGTCCAGTGGGGGGAATTGAGGACTGCAGAGCCATCCACCCCATCAGCAACAACGGCTGGCTCTTCTTGCAGGAGGTCCAATGGGGGGGGGAATTGAACTCCCAACCTCTGGCTCCACAGCCAGAGAACCTAAAGTGTTGAGCTATCCAGGCAAGGGAAGTAAAACCACCCTTTCAAGATCTCACTTACATTGAAAGCCCCATGAGAGTCAACTGTTTAAGCCAGTTTCAACCTGACAGCACGTGACATACGCACAACACAGGTGTGTTATCCTTCCTTATGCGCTTGTGAAGGGTGGGGAAGTGGCGAAAGTATCCAGAAACCAGCAGCCCAGGAGGGCATGGGTAAGTCATTCAATAGGCAAAAGCTGCGAGGAAAGAAGAAAAAGGGAAATCTGGAGCTGTCAATCACCATGGCAGCTGATCGTATAAAGGCAGAACAAGTATCTGGAGGTGGAACTCAACGATTAAGCCTAACATTTCTTACCAGACTCAACAAAGCACAGTCTGATTCTGCCCAGATGGCAAATCTGGGAGATCAGGTGGAACCCGACCACGTCCAGAGCTGGGCTTTGGGTTTCAGTTCCCTACCTATATAATGGAGATAACACTGACCTGCCTCTCTCTCTCTCTCTCTCTCTCTCTCTCTCCATGGCTCTCAAGGAAGCTGCCAGGAAAAACAAGATCAAGGTTGGCCAACTCCTTCGATTGCTTCATCACCAGGGAGGTGCCGGATAATCTGCTGAGAAGGTGTAAAGTGTGTCTCTGAACACCAGCGGAGCTGCTTCCAAGCACATAAGCGTGTGTGAAATGGTGCCCTACAGAGAATCAGTGCCACCAGATGGCTGAACATACATCTCATAATTTGGGCCAGGAAACTATTTGGAGTGGCCCTGGTTTATCAACCGAATGAGTTTAATCACAGCTAGGACCT